GGGGGGGGGAGATACCTCAGGTGACCCCTGCCGCGCCAACCCAAGGCTGCCATCGCTCGGGTTATTATGGAATACAGACGGCGTTCGTTCTGTGATTGGGTCCAAAACTTTCAGCTCTTATTCGGGCGGCTAGTTAGCGAGGCTCATAGAGCCGTGCGAGTGCGTCCCCGCGCTAGCAGGGTCGTCTGCGCGCGCGCACTTTGAAGCCATCAAGATTAACTAGACTGAAGCTGGATAGATAGGGTGGGTAGTAAATGCTCTGATTTTAAATATACTTCTAACAGGTACACGGCAAAAAATGAGTTAGTTCTCCTAACGAAGTGTTTAGTTGATTTCCGGATAATTGGTTTGAGTTCCAGAAACCAACCTTTTGTCGAGCGAACGAGGTTGTGCTGTGCACGGTGAAACCGCTAACCTTGATTCTTGTACCATCAGGTTAGTTGCTTGAATACGACCCCTTTCATGTATCTTTGGCCGTTTCAGGAACCTTTCCTGTAAACTGGCCCTGCAGTCCGTCTCGCCGGGCCGCGTTAGAGACTCCTCTTAGAAGCTAGAAGTCATGTGCCGTAATGTCCGACTAGGCCCTCACTTCGGGCAAAATATGCTTAAATTATCCTATCTTAGCCAATTTTTGAGGCAATCGAAATCTGAAAACGGCATTACACCTTTGTGTATCGGTACCGTTTTCCCCAAAGTACTGCTGAGTTTATAAAATAATAAAAAAAATAAAAAACTTGCGCAACAAAAAACGTGGCTTTAAAACTCGTTTACTCAACATCTCAGCATTGGAGCCCCGAGCATCGGATCGCTGCGCCACCATCACGGTAGCTGTTTGGTCGAGGTACTCGGTGAGGCACAGGAGCGGTGCAGAGGCGCCGAAAGACCTGATGGATTAATTGCCACCGACAGCAAAGGAGAGGGGCACGGTGAGGCGGGCCTTTGCGTGGTAGGGCGGGCCGAGCAGACACGGTAGATTTCGCGGCAATCTTGGTCGTCTCATGCTCCAGCGCGTCTCGCCTGATTACTGTGTTACCGCGCTACGCTACGCGCCGGGAGGCCCAGCCACGCCGCTTTACCTGCCGGTCGAGCCCGAGCCGGGCAGGCCCTCCCCCGGGAGGTCTGCCTGCCACAGCACGGCCCACACGCCCCTGTAAGGAAAACGTTTACATTTTCGTTAACACGCTCCCTGCGGCTCATTTTTGGTTCCTATGATTTGACATGGGAGCAGCGTGACCACATAGTGGTCATCCGCAAGGAAAGTGCTAACTCTGCGAACCCAAACCCATATGGTTGGGGATATTTAGTCGCCTATGGTGTAAAGGCACTTTAATGGCATGCAAAGCACTTCTTAAATTCTTGACGTGTATTTTTGCGCGGTGTCTTTGATCGAACTCTTTTGGTTTCGCAGCGAAGCAGATCGGACTCTTTTGGTTCAGAAGCAAAGCAGATCAGTAGTATATAGGGCCCCTGGTCCGGGTCCCTGGTCCCGGTGGGGTAGAGTGGGAGGGGAGAGGGCTCTGGGTCCCGGTCCCCTGGGTCTCGTCTTGTGGAACGGAGTATAGCCAACAAAAAGTCCCGCTGCTGGGTGGATTCGATCCTCTGGCCTTCGGGTTGGGAGTCGAGCCCCCTAACCCCTAGACTGCCGGATCGGCGCTGGTGGAGATAAGTCGGGACGGGGTGTTATGGCGGTGTCGGAGCGGGGGACGGCGCTGCTCGTCACGGCCAGCAGGGTCCCTGGTTGCGGTCGGGTGGGGCTGCCGGTCCCGCCTGCGCTCGGCTCGGGCACCTGGCGCGCTCGCCCCCCTTGCTTCGCCCGGCTGGAGCTGCTCGGTGCGGCTCGGGCGGCTGGCGCTGCTCGGCGCGGCTCGGGCGGTGGCGCGAAAATTTGAAATGAGCGCAAAGTTTAAATTCAATGAATGAATGAAATGAGTCAATGCAGTGCTTGTGATGGATGTGGATTGTCATATAATTATAATGAACCGTTAAATAATATAAGATCGACCCAGTTTTTTTCTGTTTTTTTTCTGTTTTTTTTTTCTTTTTGCTTTTCTGCCCTGGTGGGGACGCTGTGGTGGCGTGGCGGGGCATCCCCTGCGGTGCGCTCGCCTCCTTGCTTGGCCCTGCTGGTGCTGCTCGGTGCGGCACGGGCGTGGTGCCGCGAAAATTTGAATGTGTCATGGGGACACTGCGGGCACACATATTTCCGCAATCAATGAATGAATGACGGCATTGCTTCTGCAGGGTGTCTGGACGTCTGGGTATGTTTATCCTGGAGGCGTTCGGGAGTGCCCGTCTCTCCACAAACGATGTCATACACACGTGCGCGCCAAATTCAAAATGTCAGGTGTGGGATTCGAACCCACGATCCCATAGGGGGAAGCAGACTAAAAGTCTACCGCCTTAACCACTCGGCCATCCTGACATCTTGTATTCATGTGTGTCGCAATATGGTTTTGTGTCACCCATACGCAGCGTGGCGGGGCAGCCCTGCTTAGAAGATGTAGAAAAGAAGCTGATCATGGGAAACAATTTCAAACGAGTTTGACTGTGCAAGCCGACAACATGTGGGGTGCACCGCGCGCTGCTGTGCTATTTGCCGTTCTGTGCGCGTGTGCTCAAGGCCGTCCTGCCTGCAATGACACAGTGCCGATGACAAGCGCTTTAAACTACACGTCTAATTTCACCGATGTAGTCGGCAACGCCACTTACTG